CAAAGCATGGGAAGTGGGCATGAAACTTTTAGAAACTTTTCCCATGAGGCTGTTCACCTCAGCTTCTTTTGTATTAACTTTAAAAAGTCTGCAGAAATGATTAAATCAAACTGGACCACATGATTTGGACCATAAACTAAATTTAGCAACACCTTCTTTGCTCCCAGTTGATCAGAAACTAGCATCTGAACATGAAAGGAGAAAAACACAGAAACTCAAATCAAATAATGAAGTTAACAAGTAATTTTCCCTTTTGCACATGGAAACATATTTGAAAAGACATAAAATGTCATTAAAAACATGAACACATTTAAATTGTTTTACTAAAGAGGGTTGCAATTACTAGTTTTGCCACATGAGAGCAGCATAAACAGGTACTAAATATTTGCAATGAAGCTTTTAGTTCAACGAGCCAGCATTAACATTTAAACACACAACTGTAGTATTTAGTTCAAATACTTTCCGGTTCTGTTTTTCATTACAGAACTAAGCATCTGGATCTAAAAACACGAGGAGTTTGTCTGCTGCCCGTAGCTTTCATGTTCAGAAGCATGTGTCATTTGGCTTACGGTCAGAGTTTGACAGCTTGTCGGTTTTCTGTCATCGTGGTAATCTCACTTGACTAGACCAGTATTTCTGAATAACCAGAACTAGTCCTTGACGCCTGGATTAACTTCACTGGTTGTTATGATTGTGGTAACCCTAACCCTCGCCCTAATCCTAATGGCATAGAAACGGATAATGAGATTATTTTTTTTGAAAGAAAGAAGTTCATTTTACAACCTGTTCATCTTGTGTGTGTGTGTGTGTGTGTGTGTGTGTGTGTGTGTGTGTGTGTGTGTGTGTGCAACATGGATCCGAGTGACCACTGCTTGCCTGTGCTAAGTGTAGTGTATGTTGAACAGGGAGTGGAGGCTGATGAAAATCCCCGCCGACCACAGGAATGTCTCAGTGACTTGTGCATCAACTTCCTCCTGGCAGGCGAACTGACGGCGTTCTTTCATTGACACTTCTCAAAAACAGCCAGAGCTGCAGCAGAGTCATCGGGGATTCTTAATGCACACCAGTCAGGAGATTCAGCCGCCATGGGTTTGAACTCTGTTCACATGGCTGGGAAAAACAGTCCCAAGGACACAGAGGAAAGCCAACCTTGATCTTCAGAACCCCACCAAGACTGGATTCTAATGTTTACATCAACATGGAATCAAATAACATCAAATAAGTCAGGTTATGTCATTGAGTCAAGTTAACTACGCAGCTTATTTGCTAAAGCAGTAGCTCAAAGTCACGTTGAGGTGTTAAAAAGAGAAAACCTGACGATAAATAGCAGCAAAAAAAATTACATCTTCAAGGAAGTCCTAGTAAAGCTGGTGAAAATGACAGTTATGCAAAAATGAAAGGATCTGGCAGAAAGGGTGACTAAACAATGGAGATCAAGCAAAATGTGACCTTTGTGAACTGAGGAGTTGGGGAAAAAAATGCTTTTTCTGCTTTAGGAGGGATTTTTGCCCTTCACTAAAATGAATCCAGCTGATACTGAAAACGTTATTTTACGATTGCAAAACAACAAAATAAGGACATGGGTGGTTTTAAATTGGTGGTAGCATGCATCTTGAAAAAGTTAGACACCACTATTTTACAGCATCATCATTTTCACAATTAAAATGACACGATATCCCAGCAGGAAGCGCACCAAGCTGCAGCACTACTGCTGCTGATATTGAGTTACAATTTGATGCAAAACAGATTATTTTAAAAGTGCAGAGCTGTGAAATTTCCAAGAGTTTGGTTTTTCTAGGTTAGCAGTAATCTACCGAGCTCTAGGCCCTTCCTGGGCTAGCCGTTAGTGTGCTAATCCATCTAGTAATCTAGATTTATTCAAAATGGAATAAAAATATTCAAAAAGTTGTGTTTTTTGCTGAGTTGTGGTAATTTAGGGCACTTGCTGATGTAGACGGGAAAATATCAAAATGTTTTACACACACACACACACACACACACACACACACACACACACACACACACACACACACACACACACACACTCACACACACACACACACACATGCACTCACACAGGTAAGTCAAACTACAACAACACAGCCTCCCCCTCCATCTCAACTGTAGCAAGAGGTCCCATGTGCTCTGCATACTTCAATAACTCAACTCACATGGTCCAAAACTGCAGAGAAGGCAGTGCAATGCTTAATTACACCCAGTCAGACTCCAGCCAGACTCAGATCTACAGTTTTTTACACTCTGAAACACACCCGCTCCACAGCAATGAGAAATAACATGAGCTCACACACAGATGATTGTTTTAAATCCATCTAATCTATCTTCTGCAGGATTGAAAGTTTTTCATATTTGAAAACATTTAAACCGACATTGAAACCATTATCTTATTGCAAACTTTAACTTATTCTTCGATGTTCTCCCTTAAAATGACACATGAAAGAGTTTTAACTGCATGCAATGTCAAATTTAAGACTTCTTTTATGATGGTGCTGCAGGAACAAACGTGTGTCATGTGGTAAATCAGGCCTGTAATTGGAATTATAACTAGACTTAAGCATTGGGCTGACATTAGGCTGCCTACAATTTCACATCGACCCTTTGGTGACAAAACATGTGGCACATTTTCAAAGAACACCCCCCTGCATCAGATGCTTATTTACTTTGCCAGAACATCTTGTGTTGCTACGCCTCGCTGCGTGCACGGCGGTGGCAGCAAATGATGCTGCAACACAGCTGAAAACGAGTTGACTCATCACTACTTAAAGGAGCATAATGGAAGTTTGACAGCCAAAACATGTATAGAAATAATAAATGTCTTCTTCTTCATACATTCTCCTGCAATGCCCTGGTCCTGTAGAATGAGCCCTGGCATTTTTACTGTGATTGCCTGTTTTTCTGTAAAATCACAGAAAAAGAGAGATGCTCGGGTCGAGCAGGCTGCTTCATGCGCGTTCACGCTCGGGCATAGCCCGTAGCATTTGCTATCAGTAGCTTTAGCAGCAGAGAGAGAGGCAGTGCCACTTTGTCGCTGTTCCTAACGCCTAGTGACAAAGCTAGCTACATTTCTGAGGACCCTTAGCTACTTTCTGTAGAACTTTCTTCTAGATATTTCCTGCAAATTAGCAACAAAATAGCCATTTTCGCTCCAAACCGTTCTTTGGTTTGACATTGTTTCAGCTATCATCAAGGATATAAATGTTACAGATACGACTAATGTTACTGGTGTAAGATGTCAGACTCTCGTGCTGAAGACCCAGGTTCCATTCTGGATGTGAACATAGTTTATTTAGAGTTTCTTTTTTACATTAATGGTATATTTTTTTACAGTAAGATGCCCAAATTTGTTATTTGAGACTCGCCGAATGGCATTGAATTCACAGATAAAAAAGATGTGGGTTCAACTTTCATTTTGGAACAATTTTTCAAGCAAGGGAAGGGAATGATCTGAGCATGCAGGAGGACTGACCCATCATAAACCTTTGTCGGCTGTGCTGAGGAGAAAGGTACAGAACCACATTATTTAATTAATTAGCTGCACGTTCTCCTGTCCTCTGTCCTCCAGGCCACACACACACACACACACACACACACACACACACACACACACACACACACACACGCACGCACGCACACACACACACACACACACACAAACACACACACACAGGACTGTCTCAGCTGTTATTTTTGTTAAGGAGTGTGCACGTACAGCATGCGCGCCTCATGCACGAGCCTACTATTGAAGCTGCCGTTACGCTTTTGGCCTGAGGGGGCAATCGCGAGCATAAAAATTCAAAAGTCTGTAAAGTCCCTTTAACTGTGCTTAAAAAAACTTTTCTGGAAGTAAACTTCCTGCTTCTGTAGCAAATGTTTAAAAATAATCTTTAGTGTACATTCAGTGTATAAACAGGCCACGCTGGAATAAGGTATTATTAATTTGTACTTTTCTGTTTGAACTTTATGCTAAGACGTCATCTGGCCTAAAAACAAAGGAAAGAAAAACACTAGATCTGAGTAAATATACGACTTAGGCATACCATGAGTGTGCAGCTACAGTTTGCCAAATGTTCTCAACGCTTTAGATTTCCAGACAATAAACATATTTAAAAGTGATTTGGCCAAAATCGATAAGAGAGGGGCACTGGGATGAAAGCAGATGGAGAAGAATAGTAACAGATTTAGCTTTTTAATATGGAAAAAACAACTTTAGAATTATTAAAGAATACCTCAGGAATGAAACAATTGTAATTAAACATGGTGTTGTAATTGTAGCTACTGTATGTTAGCTGTTAGCTCTTGTTATGTCTTATTGGAAAATTAAAGGTGTGGATCACTGAAAACCATTTTTTAAATCTTATTTCTGATTATAATCAGTCACTCTGAATTTGTCATGCAGGCTGAACATGAACATAGTCTCCTACACCCATCTCCTGCAGTAGCTACTGATAGAAAATAGATGGTGAAAATCTAGGCCTTTAAAAGCCCGGCAGATCTATGTCACACTGTCACTTAACATTCATGGATTCACCCATCTCGACTCACGACGGGGAAGGCTGTTGTAGTTAACCAATCTGAGGAGAGATGTCCAAATATCAGGAAATAAGACTCCAAAACCTGCCGTCTGAAGCTCAGTTGTGATGCATTCCTGGAAAGGGTGCACCAGATCTTTTTCCCCAGAGTATGACTCTATAGGCATTCATACCTACTGGAGACCACTGCACATGTGTTGATTAAATGAGTGATCCACACCTTTAACGTAAGGGATGATTCCCCTAGAACAAATGTAATGTTTTGGATTAGGAATACAGTATTGTTTTATGTTTAAGGGTTTTTGATGCTTTTGATGTTTGATTCATTTTATTTTCTGTTTTTAAATGGCGTCTTCTCTGGATGGACCCCATGAGTCGTAGAGCTTTGTGACATGAAGTCAAAAATATACTACTACTGCTACCGCTACTAATACTGCTGCACTAACAACTCACCAAATATCGCTCATCATCCTTCATCCCTGGAGTTCGTATCAGGTGGTTCTGCTCCCCCCTCCAGTCTCCGAAGCGACGAAAGAAATAATTGGAGAGGAACCGGTTAATGGGGTCTCGGATGATGTTGATGTAAACAGGCTCCTCTATTCTGAACCTGATTAAAAAAATAGCAAAATGATGTTTGAAACTATTTAAGCCAATAAATATTAAGAAAGTTTTATGGAGTATTTAGCACCATCAAACCTGGTGAAGTTCAGGAAGTGCACATGTCTTGTGTAGAGGAAGGGTTGTGGGATTTTACTGATATTCTTCATCAGATCCACCTGCAAAAAGGACATTCTTGTTATTTTTGTCTTGAGCATTTAAAACCCAGTCAAGTTACAAAGACTCTAATCAACAGTAAAAAAAAAAAAAAAAAAAAACAGCAGACATTGCTCTCTGCAGCTGTCTGAAAACTCAGCAGCTGGGCAACACGCCTTCATTTCTGACCAATCAGAGCAACCAGAGCCTTTCAGCGGTCTGGTCTTCAGAGACAAAGCACGTTAAGGACTATATAGCAAAGCCACATGCATCCAGAGACTAAATGTTTAACACTTTTTTTATGGTGTGGAGCTTTCTTTCTTTTGTAAAATGTTTTAGTGAATATTACAGCCATTAGTTGAAAAGTACAAACATACTAAAGAACAAAATGCAACTATTCAAAAGCTTCCTCCTCTAGAAGATGAAAAATGTAAAAGAAAAAAAGGTAAAACTGTACAACTAAAGTGGCTTCCGTCAAAACTAAAAGAATAATCCCATCTGTTCATGAAGAATTAATGACATTAAACCAATTTGGATTATTTGATCTTAAACAGTTTTACAGTTTGGCTGTTAGTTTAGATCTGATGTGATTCGCTGTGACACATTCAAATAATTTCCATTTCTCATCCCAATAAAACAGTGCATGCTTCTATCTCAATATGCATTCACGTTTATTTTTATATGGTTTTATTTATATTTACAAGTACATTTAAAGCTGTAACTTAAGTTTTTCTTTCTTCCCCTGCAGAAGAAGAAAGTATCATTTCTGTAGCGCCTCTCAAGATAAAAATCACGAGGCGCTTCACAAAAACAAAAAATGTAAAAATATAAAAAAGCATTTAGAAAATGTTTAAAAATATATTTAAAATGTGCAAAAATAGACAATTGGGATTTAAAAGAAAAAGTGTAAAGAAAGAGAGAGAGTGAACAGGAAAGAGGGAAATCAGTGGATCCTGAGGAAGGTGGAATAGGTGGGGAGAGCAGAATAAAGAGAGAGAGGTGAAGAAGGTCATACAAAAGCCAGCTTGAACAAGTGAGTCTTCAGCTGCTTTTTAAAGGAGACCACTGAGTCCACTGATCTCAGGCTCAGGGGGAGAGAGTTCCAGAGTCTGGGGGCCACAGCAGCAAATGATCTGTCACCTTTGGTCTTTAGTCTGGTGCTGCACAACCAGTAGGCTTTGATCACTGGACCTCAGGGACCTGCTGAGGGTGTAGGGACTAAGAAGATCGCCAATGTAAGATGGTGCTTGTCCATGTAAGGCCCTGTAGACCAGAACCAGGATCTTGAAATGAACCCTGAAGTTGACTGGCAGCCAGTGAAGCTGGAGGAGAAGCTGGGAGATGTGGGTGTGTTTGGAGGACTTGGTCAGAAGCTGAGCACCGGCATTCTGAACCACCTGTAGACGGTTCAGGGAGGTTCTGCTCAGACACGTGAAAAGAGAGTTACAGTAGTCTAAGCGTGAGGAGATGAAGGTGTGGAGAACTGTCTCAAGTTCAGAGCGAGACAGAATGGGACTCAGCTTAGCAATGTTCCTGAGATGGAAGAAGGAAGAGCGAACAAGAGAACTGACATGAGAATCCAGGGTGAGAGCTGGGCCAAAGGTCACGCCAAGATTCCTGACGGAAGGTTTGGTGTGGGAAGCAAGCTGACCAAGAGAGTCTCTGACTTTGGGAACCAGCTTGTCTGGGGCACAGATGAGGATCTCAGTCTTATCTTCATTCAGCTGAAGAAAGCTCCCAGCCATCCAGGTTTTGATAGAGTCTAAGCAGGTGTGTAACAGCTGCAGCTTAGACATCTCATGGGGCTTAAAGGAGATGTACAGTTGGATGTCATCTGCATAAAGATGGTAGGAGATTCCTTTAAAGGAGCTCAGGATGTGCTGAAGAGGAAGCAGATAGAGGAGGAAGAGCAGAGGCCCCTGCACAGAACCTTGTGGGACACCGTGGGTAAGAGAGGTGATGGAGGACCTAAACTTGGAGACGGCCACAGAAAAGGAGCGCTCAGAGAGATAAGAGGAGAACCACTCCAGAGCAGATCCTGATAGGCCGACCCAGTCTCTGAGCCTCTCCAGTAGCAGGTGATGGTCAACAGTGTCAAAGGCTGCAGTCAGGTCCAGCAGGACCAGAACAGAACAGTCCCCTGCATCACTGTGAGTCAGAAGGTCATTAGAGACCCTAAGAAGAGCTGTTTCAGTAGAATGAGCTCTACAAAAACCTGACTGGACGCTATCATAGATGCTATGTTCATCAAGAGCAGCTGAGAGTTGTTTAGCCACAACCTTTTCCAAGATCTTGGAGATGAACGGAAGTTTAGAGATGAGTCTGAAGCTGCTATGGAGAGAGGGGTCGAGACTCGTTTTTTTAAGAAGCAAACAGCTTCCTAAAGGGTTTCCAGGTCTGCATGGAGGAACATGTGACAACTGGCCAAAACACACCACATTCAGTCATCTTTGACTGAGAGCCATGCAGCTGAATTCATTCCGCACTTAAAATGCTTCCATATTGGAAGAATGTAACATAATATATGAAGCCAATGTTGACCCTGCACAGAGTTTAAAAATGAATAAAAAAAAAACAAATGTGTGCAGGTCAGCTGATGAACTCAGACCTCAAGGTCACTCTGACAGCAGTGCAGGACAATAAAACTGAGTATTCTTAGAACATGTCATGACTAAATATCAGGCTGTTAGGACCTTTTATCACTCAGACTCAATTACTGAGCATAAGGAAATTGCAACACACACTTTATTCAGGGACATTTTCTTAAAGAATGCCACAAAATATTATTGAAAAAAAAATCCTGTGACTTAATGGATTATTTAAAGGCCATTTTTGATATATTTAAAATATCAGTTATATGTACAGTATGTATACTAATAAAGATATAATACCTAGTATTTTGTCAGATTTTTATTAAACATAAGGAATGTTAGCTCATTTACTAATTGCATTTTAAATGGGACTCGATAAAAACAACTAATCCAATTAATTAGATATTTATGTTTACATATACATATACTGTATATATATATATATATATATATATATATATATATATATATGTAAATACATATATGTACATATATATGTATTTACATATATATATATATATATATATATATATATGTAAATACATATATGTACATATATATGTGTGTGTATATATATACATATATAAATATATGTATATATATACATATATACACACACACACACATATATATATATATATATATATATATATATATATATATATATATATATATATATATATATATATATATATATATATATATATGTGTGTGTGTGTGTGTGTGTGTGTGTGTGTAAATAACTATCTGTATAAATATATATATTTACATATATATACATATTTATATACCGGTATGTAAATGGTTGGTCTGAAAGGGCAACAGACGCAAAAGAAAATAACACAGAATATAACAAAGGTATGAAGGAAATGTCTGCACATCCTGTGTAAAAGCAGAGTTTATGAGCAGCATCTATATGGTTCAGAAGGACATCAAACATGGATGTTAGTTTCCCAGCAAATTAATTTGTATTGAACAATTTCTCATAAAATCTCCCAAAACTCCTGAATCAAGTCATTTTTTCTTCTGCAGTCTGATACAAATCTGAGACAAAGTGTTTTCTGTTTCTGCAGATGGAAGAGCTGGAGCTCAGAGGTGTAAAATGCAAGAAACAAACAAAAAATAACAATGCCACTACTTGTCCTCCAACGATTCTTCCTTGGAGAATTAAAATATTAATAGCTGGAAGAAAAACGTTCAAAGCAGGCCATGAAGTCACCATTTATCCCAAGTCTCTGTCATGCAAAAGAAATTGAATCAATAAAACAAAGATACATTAAAAATGAAAGAGTAATTTCTCCTATTTTACAAGACAACGGCTCCAGTTTCTGATGTTGGAGTTCACACTGCTGCAGCTGAAGTGTTATGCGTCCCTGGTTGGAGGCTGCAGCATCAACTCAATCCCACCAACAAATCCAGATTAACGGCTCAGCCACAGAGCTAACAGGCAGGGGTGATCCATGATGTGATCATGATGGAATCAGAAATGATCACACAGGAAAGTCAGTTTCAGGCAGTTTCTCTGGTTCGGCATGCTGAAGAGATACTAAATGTAGGAAGGGGTGAAAGATGCATGGAATAGGCACAAAACACACAATTATGCCTTTCTATGCACACAAACTGGTACAAAGTTTAAAGGGAACATGCGGAAAGGGAAAAGATGCTGGCCATGCTCATTCTTTAGAATATGCATTAAATGAGTGGATTCTTAATTTTGTGGAATGAAAGAAATATTTGCAACCATTCGACGTAAAATAAAATTAGCTTATTTTTCAATCACTAAATCAAGTTGCGAGGGCTAAAACAAATATGAACTTTGAGTTAAGATAGAAGATACTCGAGTGCAGGGATCTGCAACCTGTGACTCTGGGGCCACATGTGACACCTGAGGAGGCTCTTTGCAACCTTGGCCTAAAAGTAACAGGACATCTAAATGTACGAAATTCAGTGAGGCAGATATGCAAGCAACAGCAGTATTTGACAATGGGCTAAATAATCATGGAACTCATTTATAAAACTTTACATAGAATCTTCAATAAAGCTCAGCAAAAAAAAAAAATATATATATATATACAAAAATGCTAATACATATTCCACCATATAGTACTATGTGTATGCGCAGCTGCACACAGTTCCTGCTTCACACCTATCTTAGAGATGTGTTCAGGTGTTTTGGATCACCCATTTTCTGTCATAAATGGTCATTGCAAAAACCTTTGTGAATAACTTGCAAATAAATAAGCTAGAATTTTACGAGTAACCATGAAGAAGCACAGACAATGATTTTATTGCCTTAGAGTGGTGCAGTGGCAATGCAGCCGTGTCTGGTGGAGCCATGGAGCAATCGCAGAGGACATAAAAATGGGCTAAAATAACAAAAAAAAAAAGCACAGAAAAAGATGAAGTCAGATGGAGGCAATGATGAAGATGGC